TTTTGATGATTTTGTTATGCTTTCTGTTTAATAATGTGTTATGTCGTATCGTTTGTTGTCCAAATTATTATAAAATTACCTTTCAATACCATCATTGTCATATTACCAAATATGACTGTTATACTGAATGTGAATTTGCATTGCTGTGCGGCGTGTCTTGGTGTTTTGTACATCCAATATTAATGGATTTATTTTGATGTTTCTGTTATGGTTTCGGTTGGATAATTAGTTATGTCTTATCGTTTGTAGTCCAAATAGATATAAAATTGCCTTTCCATACCATCATGTAAATTGTTTAGACGAATATTGTGAAAATAATTGTATAATGCTCGAGATTGCATGTTAGTTACGTAAGCGCCTCACTGTTTTTGATATCCTATGGTGTTTTTCTTTGATGGAATATGTTCGTTGTTGCTCTGTGGTTTGCATGTTGTGTCGACTATTATATTATTTGTTTGTGCGTTTCTCTGTTATGAATGTTCTTGCGTGTTTTTGAGCTGCATTTCTGTCACATAGTGTTTTAGCGATATTTTTTAACATTGTCATAAAGCGGGAGGTTTGGCATGCCATGAAACCAGGTTCAACCCACCATTTTTTCTCAAAATTTCAAAATGGTTTCCGTAAATCGAGATCATGCGAATCACAACTTATTCAATTCATACAAGAACTTCATACAACAATAACAAAAATATACAAGTAGACAATATTATTATAGATTTTGTACCCCACAGATGTCTACTCTACAAACTGAAATACTATGGCATACAAGACGACACTCTAAAATGAATTCAGGCTATTTTATCAGACCGTACACAAACATTGGTTATAGATAGTACCATTAACATCAGGTGTGCCCCAAGGATCTGTCCGTGGGCCTATACTCTTTTTAATACATGTACACATAAATTATTTTCCAGAATACCTCAACCACAGCAAATTACGACTATTTGCTGATGATAGCATTATATAGCATGAAATAACATGTCAACAAGATTGCACAAACCCACAATCAGATACAAATGCGGCGGCTAAATGGAAGGCTGATTGGCCCATGGCCTTCCATCCTGGAAAATGCATTATTCTAACCATCACACAGAAAAACAAAACCAGTTGAACACGATTACATGCTGCATAACCATACTTTAGAACCAGTAACATCAGCAATATATCTTGGTGTAACCTTACGGTCAAATTTAAAATGGAACAATCATTATGCCAATATCTTATCAAATACAAACAATTATCTTGGCTTCCTGGAGAGAAACCTAAAAATTTCAAACACCAACATCAAATCCCGTGCATATTACTCCATAAAGAGACAAAAACTTGAATACGCCTGTAGTTTATTCGATCCACACACAACAGAATACAAAAACAATATAGAAATCGTACAGAGGCGTGCTGCCCGTTATGTATGTAATAACTACCATTACACAAGTAGTGTTACAACCACGATAAACCATCTTTAATGGCCCTCACTTTCTGAATGCCGCCTCAAAACCAGGCTGATAATGTTCTTTACGGTCATCAATGGACTCATTGCAATTCCATCGCTATTCCTAAGACCAACAGATACTACAACAAAAAAAGCACATAACCAACTTTTTTCGGCAAATATCCACCTCAAAAGAAAGTTACAAATGGTCATTTTCCCCACAAACAATAATGCAATGGAAAATATTACCACAAGTTGTAGTAGCATGTCAAACAATTGAAACCTTTAGAGAACAGTTAACACCTACTATTCTCCCCAACACAAGGTAACTTAATGAATACCAATGTACATTTTTTAATCACTTGTTGTCTTATTTTCATGTAAATATCACTATATCAAATAATCTACAAATAAAAAAAAAATGTTGTGTAGCTATTATTTGAATATGTTTAATGACATACTCCGCGCATGAACCAGTTCGTAATCTTCAATCATATGAAGCTGATACTGTATATCTGAAGGAGATAAAGCACATATACAATTATTGCTCATATGTTTGTTAAACAATGACCTTTCTGACTCATGTTTCAGCTGTGATAAAAAGTGAAAGTAAAGTACAGCACCTCCATCTTTCATCGAATGTTATCCGGATAGAAGCACATTAGGGTACGCGACTATTCATCATCTAAGTGCCAACTGCTTTTGCTTAAATTATCTTTGACGTAGACAATTGAAGAGTAGGATGAAGTACACGTGGATCGAGACTGGTACGGACTGACATTTTGCTTTTGCCTAGAGCCAGTGTGAAGGTTCCTCAGTTAGTCATTCGAACTAATGAAATTTACATTTTCACAGAATAGGAAACAGAGTTTCATCCTTTATGTGTTTATAATTGAATTTTTCCTTTTTCTTTCTGGAAATGTTAGAATGTGATCAATCGGCTATATTCCATATATTGTTATAAACTCTTAAGTGTTTTTTCCGAAAACGAATGGATGCAAGAGGATGATCAAACTATGAAGATTTAGTAAAACAATAACGGCATAAAGTTCTCATTTTTGTAAAACTCTTTTATTCATTTCTTTCAATTTAGTTTTATTATATAAATAACTCATACATATAAACAACTATATAGATAATATTGACAAATGAAAATGATGCATATTATTAGACATTATTAGATAAAAATGATTTAATATACAAATGAATGACACATATTGTTCTCAACACAGCTATTTACAAAACTGCAACCAGAAACCACATTACACATCACGCTGACATTCAAAGCAATCGAACCAAAGCAGATTCTTTAGGAATCTTGAACCAAAGGACAATTTATAAGTAAATAATCGAATCCAAAACTATAATGCTATACAAGATACCGCTATATTCATAATCAGCTGGCACGATAGTATTATGTTTTGTAGGAAAACATTTTGATAAGAAAACAAATGATCTAGTGGTCCAGATTACATCAGTGGACGTGTATTACAAGAACTAAAAACACAGATTGCACCAATTTTAACCACCATTTTTACCAAATCTCTAGAAACAGGCAAAACAACAATAAGACTGGAAACATGAAAACGTCGCACCTGCATTTAAAAAGGGCGAACATATTTTAATACTCCAAATCTTATAACCAATCCCTTCATACTCTAGTAGATCGACTTTGTCGGTATTGTCTTCGCTATTTTTTATAACTGGACTGAGCAGTACTTACTTCTTCAAAACCATATGTTTTTACCACAGACATAGACAACCTTAGCCGGATTTGGAGCACAACTTTTAGAGGTTTTAGTTTTTCAGTGATTTTCATCACGAATTGGTTGATCTATACGATGTGTCTGTGTCTAAACTAACTAATGATATTTTTACCACGTTTTAGATTGTGGTTTAACATCTATGTCGTCTGTCTGCTAAGTACCGAACGTGACCTATTCCCGAAAATATGACTGTTATACCGAGAGTGAATTTACATTGCTATAAGACGTGTCTCGGTATTGTGTACATCCAACATTCATGTATTTATTTTTGATGATTTTGTTATGCTTTCTGTTTAATAATGTGTTATGTCGTATCGTTTGTTGTCCAAATAATTATAAAATTACCTTTCAATACCATCGTTGTCATATTACCAAATATGACTGTTATACTGAATGTGAATTTGCATTGCTGTGCGGCGTGTCTTGGTGTTTTGTACATCCAACATTAATGGATTTATTTTGATGTTTCTGTTATGGTTTCGGTTGGATAATCTGTTATGTCTTATCGTTTGTAGTCCAAATAGATATAAAATTGCCTTTCCATACCATCATGTAAATTGTTTAGACGAATATTGTGAAAATAATTGTATAATGCTCGAGATTGCATGTTAGTTACGTAAGCGCCTCACTGTTTTTGATATCCTATGGTGTTTTTCTTTGATGGAATATGTTCGTTGTTGCTCTGTGGTTTGCATGTTGTGTCGACTATTATATTATTTGTTTGTGCGTTTCTCTGTTATGAATGTTCTTGCGTGTTTTTGAGCTGCATTTCTGTCACATAGTGTTTTAGCGATATTTTTTAACATTGTCATAAAGCGGGAGGTTTGGCATGCCATGAAACCAGGTTCAACCCACCATTTTTTCTCAAAATGTCCTGTACCAAGTCAGGAATATGGCAGTTGTTATCAAATAGTTCGTTTCTATACGTGTTGGCGTTTGTTTTTGTTGCACTTCGGTGTTCCTGTTGTTCATTTGTTTTCCTCTTATAGTTGATGTGTTTCCCTCAGTTTTGGTTTGTAACCCAGATTTGTTTTATCTCAATCGATTTATGACTTTTGAGTACCGGTATACTAGAGGAGAGGGACGAAAGATACCAGAGGGACAGTCAAACTACTGTTGCCTTTATTTCTCAACATCGTTTATGATTTGGCCTTCCAACTGGTTGGATTTCAGCATCACTGATGAGATTTATGCAGATGTAGCGCGTCTAGCGTACCAAACTTATAAGCCTGGTATCTTTTGGTGAGTTTTTTTAATAATCAGACTATGTTTAGTAATTTCCAGTTTTGGTTGAGTCTGGTTAATATACTGACTCATATTTCAGATGTGATAAAAACTGAAAGTAAAGTACAGCACCTCCATCTTTCATCGAATGTAATCCGGACAGAAGCACATTAAGGTACGCGACTATTTACCATCTAAGTGCCAACTGCTTTTGCTTAAATTTTCTTTGACGTAGACAATTGAAGAGTAGGATGAAGCACACGTGCATCGGGATTGGTATTGACAGACATTTTGCTTTTGCCTAGAGCCAGTGTGAGAGCTCCTCAGTTAGTCATTCGAACTAATGAAATTTACAATTTCACAGAATATGAAACAGAGTTTCATCCTTTATGTGTTTATAATTGAATTTTTCCTTTTCCTTTCTGAAAATATTAGAATGTGAGCAATCGGCCATATGCCATATATTACTATAAGCTTTAGGTGTTTCCCCAAATCGAATAGATGCAAGAATGATTAAACTGTGAAGATTTAGTAAAACAATAACGGCATCAAATTCGCATACAAAATAAGTACAATTTTCTAGCACTTTTATTCATTTCTTTAAATTTAGTTTTACTATGTAAATAACTCATACATATACACGACTATATAAAAAAATATTGACAAATGAAAATGATGCATATAATTAGACATAATAAAATAAAAATTATTTAATATACAAATGAATGACACATATTGTTCTCAACACAGCTATTTACAAAACTGCAACCAGAAACCACATTGCACATCACACTGTGAAATTCAAAGCACTCCAACCAAAGCAGAGTCTTTAGGAATCTTGAACCAAAGGATATTTTTAAGAAAATTATCGAATCCAAAACTATAATGCTATACAAGATACCACTATATTCATAATCAGCAGGCACGTTTGTTGTTTTTTTTTAGGAAAACATATTGATAAAAAAAAACCAAATGATTGACAAAAATAAAAAATAGGTACTCAAATTCAGTGTACTAAAAGTAAATGGTTTGAGGAGTTTGTTAAACGTCCAGTGACAAATAGTTCATGCATTTGTAGGACGAAAAAAATTAATAAGTGTATCTATTAGGAAAGTTCTGCAAAGCAAGTCGGTCGGAATGAAATTTTTTCATTCAAAAAGTAGTATAAGTATTCCTCCAGAGGTTGTTACAAGGGTCTTTCAAGTGAAGAGAGTGTGACATTTTCACAACATAAGGCATTGGAGGTATCAGGAGAATATTTGTATACCTTTATATATAAACCAGACTGCATTAATCTAGTCAGCTGTCTTTCTTACACCAACAATTGTTTCAACAAATTTAGATCAAAGATGTATTATAACAGCAAAACAAGTAAGAAATACAGTTATATTGAAATAATGTTTATCTGCAAAATTAGACTGAGATTCCTGTCTTGTTTCACGTTCTTCTGCACCTGTAAAATTACAGAAATAAAATGTTATTGCCGATTCGTAATCATTATGACACATCTTTATATTTTTCCGTGGTGTCTCATCTTGTGAATGCATTTTTTGGGTTAGAGGATATTTTGGCTTTCTTGGTAATGATAAAAGAAACTTTTACAGTTGTTTTTCCCCCTCAACACACTCGAAACGAACTTATATCGCTCTTTGCGAAATTAAAAAGCATTTGAATAAATCTAGTCAGACAATATGACCGACAGGAGTTTTCTTATGTTTTCAAATTTCCAATATTTATCGAATGTGGCAGTGTCTAGACTGATGATGGTATTATTTGGGCAGGTAACGATTAGTGCAAAAAGTTGTAATATTGTACTTAAATACACATTGTTCCTCAGGAACAAAGAGCATATAATCTTTCAGTTTCGTTGAGTCGCATCTTCTTCTGAATAAGTAGTTTTTATAACATATCATATTTTGAAATATTAGTATTTTGTAATAAAATTAGATGGTCTGTGCTTGTTTTTGGCTTAAAAGGTAAAAATGTAGCCTCAGACAATACAATACAATATGCTTTATTTAAAAACACTCCTTCACATTGACATGTGAAACAAGAGGTAAATATATACAAAATACAATCACATACAATCATAGAAATAAATAGACAAAACAATACAATGTATAAGTTTCAAGAATTCGTGCCGACTAAAAAGACTTTTAGAATCTGTATATATATTAAAAACTGCTCGTTTGTCCCCTTTGTTTAAAACATCTGTACATTATCCATTGTTCATGTACATATTTGTTTCCCTTTAGCTTATCATAGTTTGTTAATCAAACTATATATTTTTACAGGAAAAGGGTGTTCATAAAATAAAAACCTACCATCACACATTAAAAGTGATTGCATCATAACAAAAGACGGAATCCCGCAACTGAAAATTGAAAATTAGGATACCCCACGTTCAGTGTATGAGTACAATCGATACCTATCATCTCATTAAATTTTCTCAAAGACACAATATAAAATGGGATGCTGGGGAGCCGGTGGGACATATAATTTTGATGGCAAGTTTTAATTTTTTTATGTTTTGTTGTTTTTGTTTTTGCTTTTATAAAATCTCGTTTTGTTTTTAAAATGCATAATTTTGTTGCAATACATACGTCACCATCATAAATTCTGAGTAACCAATTAAGAGAATCTAACGAAAAGCTGAATCACCTAAATTAGACGAAACAACTAGAGAGACAAGATTCTCTGCATGTGGAGAAAAAAAGCAGAGGTCATTAGAAATAAAAGGTTATAATTTCTCCAGGTGCCTGCTGACAATACTTCATCTAAAAGGCATTACGAAAATAGCACAGGATGAAGAAATAGTTCTGACATTATGAGCTTTAATGTTAAAACTGCTTAAAAGTTCTTCATTAGAAGAGCCATATGCTAAAAGAATAGCTTTATTTGTTCAAGAAGAAACGTTTTAATGGGAAAATTAGATATACCCTTTTTAATGGGGATCAAACGTCTTTAATTAGAACTAGCACGAAGACTCTTATTTCTACTAAAATAAAGAGACATAATCCGATGTTGTATACCTCTATTTGATATTTCTGGTTACAGGAAATGTAGAACATAATTTAGCCTCTTTTATGTTATTTTACGTGACTGTTTACTTTTCTTATGCTTGTCGGCGGCAAACAGTTAGTGTCGTCTTCCAGACATGTGGTTTATCAATGGCAGTAGACTAAAGTTGATATAGATAAAAGCGTGACTTCAATCTTATAGTCCCCACAGACAACAAAAGGATTGAGGCCCACGACACCGAACTGGGCACAGTATGAAGGAAGCACATGGGTAACAACAGTGATTTGATTTTTGGCAAGAAAAGTTGGATCAGTCAGTAAAGTAACTGAAGTTAAACTCATCATAGTTTTTTTATATGCCAGACGCACGTTTCGTATAAAAAAAACGTCCTCAATGACGCTCGAATCGTTAAAAAAAGTTTTATAGGCCAAATAAAGAAGTCCTTGTTGAAACTGAGAAAACGCGATTTTCACTCATCATTCACCAAGAATCCAAGACAAACATAATATATATCCGAGATCTATTTGATATGCTGGTTCAAAAGAAGTAGACTTTAGATCAGACTTAACTGAACCTAAATGCCAAACAGGAACCATAGACCTTTGCTTTGACCTTTACAGACTGAAATTCCGGTTAAAAGAGATATACACTTATTCATTCCAATCTATAGCCTTTTGTATTTGTGGTACCAAGACATTTAGACTCAAATAAAATAACTAAAACATTTGGTAGTTATTGAACAGAGGCTTGAAAAGGACCATTTGCCCGTTCACTACACCATCGAACAAAATTATTATTCATTTGGCATCACAGACAATGTTAGTACAGTCTCTGACTGACTTAAAGAGATCTTTGATTGCTCCCTTAAACACTGTCTTTCTAATGCTATTCCTAAGAAATACTGAGGTATCCATCAGAGAATGTTTGATTTGATGCAGTTCAAAAATAACTGCCTTAATCTCTAGTACATTGGTGTGTTCTTTCAGACAATTTGGATCCCTGACCTAGTCCCTCCAGATAAGCACCCCGATCTAGGAAGCTGTGTTCAGAGTTTGGATATGAATAGAAGAAGGTCCTTATAACATTTTCCCTGAGTAATCAACACTGAAGGTCAGGTATCAAAGATTGAAGCATTGAATAGGAGCTTCCCATTTTTAGGAAGCTGCATTCAAATGTTGGGGAAGATAAAACTTAAGTAGACAAATATGAAGTCTTCCCGGAGGAACTATTTCTACAATAGAATTTAACAGACCAAGAAATTTAAATCTTCAGAAGAAATAGTCTCTGGTTTTTCCAGTTGATAATTAAACCTAGGGATGGAAATAGTTTGGTGAACAATATTTATTCTGTCTGAGCTTTCGGATATATAGGACAAAAATCTTTGATCAGAAAACCGTTCAAATGAGAATGGATTTTGAAAGCCTAAAAATGACAAGGTGTTGTGGGTAGGCCAAAAGAGATTGCTTGAATTGAAGCATCTTGTTTTTCCAGACAAAACGACGTTTTTTTTTTCGGAAGAGAGGATAATAAGGATATGAAAATATGCATCCGACAGGTAGATAAGTAGTCTTCATTCCAGGCAAGATAACTGCTCTGATTGACCTGTTTGTCTCAATTTTGAAATGAGGAACTACCAGGTTAGTGTTCAGAATTGATAAATCTATGACCCGCCTCATTCTCTTCTGGAATAAAAAATAAAGTCGGGAGTAAAAAACCTGGAAACGGAGTTGACACAGAGATGTGAAGTTCATGCTATTCACTCAGTTTGTCACCTTGATATGTATCTTCTTAATCAAATTATGAGATTTGAACATCAGTAAACTATTGATGTCTAAATATACATCAACTATTGCATCTCTCCGTGATTAATGTTTTATTCCATGAAAAAAAGGTTGACATTGCAAAGTATCCGAAGTCTCAGAAAGAACGCAGTCAGAGGAGATCCAGAAATTGAAGGTTTTACCCCTCCGGAATTATTGACAATACCCAACAATCTGTAGATATTTTTCTCCTACTGTTTTTTTGAAAATGAGGTACCAACCCCAACTGGAATTTAAGGAAGACGAGGAATTAAAACAAAAGAGAGGCGAAATATACCAAAGGGACATTCAAACTCATAAGTCGAAAATAAACAGACGACCATGGCAAAAAAAGAAAAAGACCAACAGACAAACAGACAAACAACAGTACATAAAACACAACATAGAAAACTAAAGACCGCGCAACACGAACCCCACCAAAAAACTGGGGGTGATCTCAGGTGCTCCGGAAGGGTAAGTAGATCCTGCTCCACATATTGCACCCGTTGTGTTGCTCATGTTAGTACAAACCCGGTGATAAGTCTTATTCGGTAGGTCACATTCGGTGAAAAGGGGGCGGGATCGTAGTTACGACAATTGGAACATATCCGTTGTCATCTATGAAACGGATATTCCATAACGGTCAACCAAACCGTGATAGCACGGTAAAAGTTAAGAAACGATGATTTCAACTTCACCACTTGGAACTCTTGGTTTAATAGCTTCCTTGTGAGCAGCAACCCTCTATCAATGAAATCATGATAGGAAATGCGAGCCCTCGAATATCGCATCAACTGGGAGATATATACTCCGTATATAGGCACTGCTGGAATGTTGCTACATAGAAATGGAAAGTTCACAATTGGGAAGCTCAAATCATCTCTTTTGTTGTATAGTTTTAGTTTTCAACCGACCCTCATTGTCAAATTCTAGATGTAAGTCAAGATATGAGGTAAACTTAACTGTATCTGTTGTATCCTTTATCTCAACTTTCAATAGGTGAAATAACAGAACTCACTCAGTGAAAAGCGAGTGCCCAATCAAGCAATACGACCAAACCAGTAATGCAGTTAAAAGAATTAATTGCATTAAAGACTAGTTACAATTCCCTAATTTGCAAATGTTTTATGATAATAACGTCCTTTGTAATCTTCGTGGTTGTATGTGTACTCATTCTCTGAACAAGTGGAACCCTTACTTTCTTATTTTTAGTTTGGAGACTCCGTCTGTTGTTATGATGTAATATGATATCACTCAGAATTCATAATGGTGACTTGCTTATTAGAATAACACACGTATTTAACAATTACAATATAGAAATCGACTTAATCGGTTCATTATTTTTATTCTTAAAAGCTGAAACACGGTAGGTACCCTTACATTTCAGCAAGAAATGAAGATATCTACTCAAATCAGCGAAAGAAGATTGGTAGTAGTGTATATCAAAGTACTGAAGTACTGAACATCGGATGACCGAAAGTTCTGGTGGATGGTCACAAGCACTTGTCTCAGAAAAAAATCACATCTCTATACCTGAAAGTTAGGTTAAGGTAGATAGATATATTTTTTCTGAGACAAGTTCGTGTGTGAATGATGAATAAATGACAGGGAATTCAACCTCACCGTAATAACTATTATACTGTAGTGATATAAATATTTGTCATCAGTATACTCTGGTTTGTTGTTATATATTATATTTATATTTTGCATAATAGTTATATGAAATTTTAATCCATTTGTATATCATTCTATTCAACTTTTCTAATGATAGTGCAGTGCAAGTGCATGGTGGACACTCTTCTGTAATAATTCGTTTTTCTAATAGATTGGATTTGAGTAGGCATTCATATTTTCTCGCGTTTGTTACAAAACGTTCTTGAGATATTCTTCCGCATACGTTAACACAAATTTTCAGTTTTTGATATTGTTATTGATATATATATTTCTCAAGACAATACATTTTCATATCATTTATCTATGTTCTTAAAAATAATTTTCAGGAATATTTATCGATAAAATCAATATATAACAAGCGATGAGGAATGTTATTTTGCACACGATAATATCCGCGTAATTAACCGGTTGTCAGTCAAAAACGAATGTCACGTGGGTAGAAATGTCTGTGGCAACAATACTCCGGAATGCCCTTACAGTCATCCGATGTAAAAATGAATAATCCTTTTTTTTCATATTTGAAAACCTCTTAGAAATTTATTAACTTCATGTTCAAAATTCAGGCCTATACCCTCTCAATTTCAGGTTCTTCGGCTGGTGACCCAAGCTTTATTTTTTTTTAATTGCACGCAGTATTGAATTTATTATACGGGCCAGATTCGAAAAAACAAACCCTTTTAATAGACAATTTTCTTGTAGAAAATACTTACGTTTTACAAAAACATTTTTCTTCTTAGTGCCGTACAAATTTGTGGCGGAGCAAGTATATTGTCCAAAATCTTCTAACGCCATTTCTGTTATCCAAAGCTGATAAGTATTTGTATTTTGTTCTGTTACAATCTTAATCAAAGTGAACTTTTCATTTTCAATTATCAGTTTGCCACTTTTCATCCAAGTTATATTCAATGGTGCAGCTCCTTGTACGTGGCATTCGCCGATCAGAAATTTCGGACGTCCTATTTGCACTTGCACATTGTCACGTGGAATGTTAATGTCTGGTCCTAAAACAGTATCTGCAAGGAAATGAACATAATCTTTAAGCGAGTTACAAATGTAGTCTTTTTTTTACTTCCTATGCACAGTATATTGATTTTTCTTCAGGACTTGAAATAGAATAGAACTCAAATCTAAAAATAAGTTATGAATGTTTATTTTCAGAAATTCTTACTAGGAACTGTTGTAAAAGGTACACAGACAGAGTATATACTTCTAAAGTAAACATCTCATTATTATATGCACTATATTTTAATGAGAATAGATATACGTGAAACAGTTTTAATTTTCGAGTTTCGAAGCTTGGTTTTTCAGTGAAAAAAAGGATATGGTGTATCAATTCATGATACACAATATTTCTTTTTGTCTTTGTGAACCTTCATCGAAACCTCTTTGATAAAACAGCTAGATATTTTTTTATAGACAAAGATGTTTATATACATAAGGACTGTATAACAAAAAGGGGAGTTAAGATTAAGTTCAAACTATCTATTGTCAACTCCGTGTTCCTTACGGATTTAAAAACTTTCTTTAATGATAAGTACAAAGTTTCAAACTAGGAATGCATCACAATTAAATACATCACACAAGATTAATCACTGACAACTGGACATTGAGACCATCGGGAACTAACAGCTCACCATCAATGATGGTGACCATTTGTAGTAAGCCAAATTGACGATGTTTAAAGTACTGGGTTTGAAACTCTATCCACGATTATCCTTCACCTTTGAAAAAAATCATCAAATGAGAATTAAAAAAAAGATAGTAATAATCAAAATACTTCTTATTATAATAATGTTAATGTTTAATAACTATAATTTTGTATTAAATTATTAACGTTGGTTTACTAGCAATGTACATTTGACGATTCATATCCGTATACTGAAAATTCCTACTACAAAGTCATCAATATAAACTTAAAGTAAGCATTTTTTAAAACAGATGGAATTAATTCGATAAAAAAAAAATCATTTCATTTAGATGAATTTATCGACTTTGGTTTAACTGATAGTTCACATCTCAGATTGATATTTATTATAAGCAAAATATGTGTTATGTTCCGTGAAAGTATTTTTGAATAGACAATTGGAATTTCAATCTCACCAATTAATCTTTACTTCTTGTAAGGCAAACATCATAAAAAGACACCCACTTCATTTGAACTTGGGTGGATAGTTGTCTAATTAGCAATCATACCACAGCTCCTTATTTCCATATAATAAGAAATCCCGCTATAAGACATTATCATTGAATAATCTTAAGTTTAGTGACAGTTTTGATCGTATATTTGAGTCAATCGGATAGCCTCCTGTCACGTATGATATCGTTAATTATCGCGGGATTTAAACTAAAACGCGCATATAATTTCGAGATCAGGGTTGGTAAGTCGCTTATGTGAAACTGGTGTATTTATTTAAAATTAAAGCATAAAATTGTTATCCGAGGAAAATAAAGTTTAAATAGAAAAAAACAATTTAAAGCTAAATACATTTTCCATCATTTCATCATTTCATCAGTTTGTCTGTAATTTTACGCACTGTAAATTGTATAAACAGTCTTGAATTTACTAAATGCTGTTTGCTTTTGCTATCAGAGTGTACATAGAACTGAGCTTATTATGATGGAACTTCGAGAATATCAATCAATCAAATCCAGACTGTTTCCGGTAAATGATCCTTGGCATTACAAATATGAAAGACTCAGACACAGTTGCAAACTTATCTGTAAAAAATGACACTGATAGGGTCAAAGTTTGAAACAAAGCGTTATTTTATATAAAAAGTATATTTTTCAATAAATAATTGCGTCCTTTGTGAACGTCTGTTCTGTAAGAAGCTAGTCGTTACTTTTTCTTTGAATAATTGGTAACATTTATTTGATTAGAGATGTTAACTCGACAGAAAAAATGGTGAAAACATATGTTTAACGCTTCAAGAGCTTTTCTTTGTTAAGTGCTAGAAACTATCATTAGTGTCAAGACATCATTCGGCCATTAAAGCTCAACTTAAAATATCTCCTGTGAACGAATACAGTGTTTTGTGTCTGTAACATATAAGCAGCTATTGGTTTTTCATGTGACATCTAAAATTTATGGTCTGTTGTCACATATTAAAACACTTCAGAGCATAGCTCATAACTATAAACTATTTATATTTTATGGTTGCGTCATTTTATCTAAAGCCAAAGCAGTCAGACAAACTAATCTTGTACATATAATGCCCCCTGTGTTTATATACGTGAGACAGAGTTTTCCTGTACTTTAAGGCTTGTAATACTTATAAACGGGATAAACACGTCTTGTCTCTGGGGTTTTACATAATCAAGCTGCAGAAAAGTATGAGCGGAATGTAAGTCGGGTATTTTACTTTAGTGTGAAATAATCCAAGCTCAAATAGGCCAACTAATGAATATTTCAGAAGATGTGAAGCAACAGTTATTTACCGATGCTCAAAATTTGTAAAAAAAATCCACAATTAAAATCTGAGGGATGGGTGTGTGCTTGAACTCTAAACGGACCGAAACCTAGTGCGTCGACGGGATAAGAGTCTCAGGTTATTCGAATCCATACTCCGTCAAATATGGAACGATGGAATAGGACAAAACCGGAAAACTTGGAGATCAGACGACCATTCTAATGTCTTGGGAGTTGAGACCACAAAATAATGCCTTTGTGACGGTTGAGACATTGACACATATTATATTGGTTTTAGTCATAACAGAACACTAGATTTGGATCACTTTTTAACCATCGAGTCATTAGTGAGTTTTGGTAATCTAAGTTAATGAGAAAAGGCAAGTGATTACGAAACGGTTTTTTTTCTTCAAAAATGTTTGCTTCTCATTCCTCTCTGTCATATTTAACCGCTCTGGATTTTCCTATGCAATGCTTTGGATTATTTGCAATTCATGCAAAACATTTCCAAATTTCTTGATATTTCTACTTTATTGTTTAGTTTAAAGATCTGTCAAAAAATGTAACCAGCAACACAATTTTGTATTTGTTTTTTTTTATCATAATAAACAACCAAAACAAACAATGCATATAATATTAACAAAAGCTAAATGTTTACCAAGTCCAAGTTGAAAAATATTGACTGCAATATTGTAAAAGCACAGGGACTAATATTTATTCTCCAATGATTTTCTACATCCAATGTTATAAAATACTTCATTTCAGAAAAAGGTGTCACGAATTTATTAATTCAGCAGCGAAGGCCCGTAAATTTTGATTCCTTTCAATTCTTTACCGTATTTATATTTTCTATAACATTGTTTCTTCAATGTCATTTTAGTTCATAACATAGCTTAGGTTAGAACAATAAATGATAATAAAGTGGACTACATTTTTGCTTCCTGCTCCCCGGGCTGGTATGCTTTATTGTAAATGGGAATACTTAGTCGGAAATTTAGGCAACAGATTTTTTTTTAAACAGGACAATGTATCTATGTTAAAAAAAAGAAGATTTAAGTGATTTAAAAAAAATTCAAAAATGTAATTGATCGATTAGCTAAACAATTGGTAAGTTTTTCTTCAGTATACAATAGAGATCAATAATTAACAAAAAACATGCAATGTTCAAGTTGTTTTTTACTTTCATAATAACATCCAAAAATGTCTGCATTAACAAATTTGTGTCAAGGTGACCAGCAGATCAGTACTAGTTGACACTGAAGTGATATAATTATCCGCCATAAGTTAATTTAAATTCATTATTCACTGATTGAAAGCATACTAACCCTGAATGAAAATTTTCTCTTTATTTTTCTATTCTTACAGACGTTTGATTAGGAAACTTCGTGACTCCTTATTAAACAGCTGTTTGTCACATTTGTTCAAACTTCACGCGGACTTCCGGTATTCTATTCAATATCTATCTGATTTTCTGATCAACTGTAGGAACTATATATATCACTGTATTGATCCGCAAAATTATTTCAATTATATAGAAGATAAACGTACGAAGTTTAGATACAAAGATAAGTATATAAAAAGGGAATTGAATATAAAGAGAAATAAACAACTAATGAGGAAAAACGGACAAAACCATGATAAAAAAGGGTAACTGATAAACAACAGTCTACAATACACTACACAAAATATAAAGATTGAGCAACACGTAGTTCACAAAAACTTTGGCGACTTCATGTGCTCCGGAAGTGTAAGTCCATCATCATTTGATCGTTTATGGAATATCCAGAACGTACCCGTGTACTTTCGAAGAAATGACTTCAATTTTACTTCGAAGAACCATTGCATCAATTGCTTCCTGTTAAACAGTGGCGAATCCAGGTTGGGGAAGGAGGGGGGGGGAGGGGGGGGGGGGGTGTTCCGGGGTTTTGTCATATGAATGTGCTACTGGTATGTTGTTACGTAGAAATTGAAAGGTCACTATGGGAAAATTAAAATCATCTCTGTTGTCTTTGAGTTTAGTTTTCAACCCAATCAAACTGTCAATTTTTAGATAGAAGTCAACATATGAAGCAAACCAACTGTTTATGTGGTCATCCTTTATTTCAAGTTCAGTGTACTTTACGCGATCAAATTAGTCACCAGACTTGAACTTATTCAGTGAGCGGACTCCGCCAATTTTTTGGGGAACACGAAGTAAAAGAATTAATATTTTTTCTTGAGAAGCACTGCATTAAGTTTATCTCATACAAATGAATAAACGGTTGATGATAAGATGAAAACAGTTTGCTCTCACAGAAACGCATATTGTAAAACACATCAACTAAACGTAACAACTATATGGTCTGCAGTCAATGTCTTCAAAACATCCCGTATGCGTTTAACCCCAAGGGTTGACTTGGGTATAGAATATGGTCACCTGGACTGATCGTGTCCCGGCAATCAAACCCTTGCTAAAGTGGGGTGTCCGTTGAAGCGTGGGATGTATGAATACGTAGCCACGTCCGGTTGGAAGTGGGACGTTAAATCCGATGTACCACAAGGCGACTCATTTTCCGTTGACAATCTAAAATTTTAGCACTTCATCCAGGTCGATCCTTTACTTGC